GCCCCAGTCCCTGCAGCTTGTCACCCTAGAGCCGTGCCCGGGGACCGCCGAGCCCGAGAGCCGATCTCCGGCAGAGAGGTACCAAAGCCATCAGGAACGGAGCGCGGGAGGGTTTCCCGGGAACTGCGGAGGCTGAGCAGATGGAGGAACAATGCCGCCTCCAGAAGAAAACCCTCGCCTGCAGCCCGGGCGGAGCGCGGGCGAGCCGCCTCCAGCCGCCTGCTCTCCCACGGCCCTCGGGGTGGTTCCTGGGGTGGCTCGGATTCTCAGTTTGGCTGGGATGAGAAAGTTGTTCTTCCCCACATTTTCTGCCAAGTGGTTTTCAGATCTGCATGGTTCGAGCCAACATGTCACTCCCTAGATCCCCCTCGATGAGCAGCGACTAGATGATACGTTATTGGGCGATAAACCCCTTTGGGGAGAGAAGGTAGTCTCAACATTGAAAACGCTTCCCGCTGGCTCCTGACTGCCCAGCCCGGTGCTTTGTGAGCAGACATGAAAAACCACCTGCAGGGAATTTAAAACTGGGAATAATTTATTCCAGAGGAGGTTGTTAGTGCCTTATGGAGGCGAGGGAAGTTATGTGTCTAAAATTTGATTCATTTGTGATCATTCTAAATCACGAGCAGTTGGCCTCCACAAAGGTATTTATACTGTTCTTTTTTCATTTCCAGGACCACATAGGACTTAGGAACTGTAAATTTAGAGAGCTAGCTAACCTTGTGTCTATTCTCTGCATTTTTACAGGTACTTAATATATTAATTTTTCTTCTTTTTATACTGAAACTACAGTAGTCTGTTTTCTCTATGTAAGTTCTCATACCATACATAAAAATACTGGGTCATAATATATTTCTTAAAAACCTATTGTGCTTGATTATAAATAGGATCACATATATATAAATATCAGTAGGGAAAGGTAGGGGTACATGTGTTTGAGTGTAAAACCTATCGAATGTCTTGGCATTTCAATCAGCCATTGCAACCTAGCAGAACACTAGCTTTCTGAAATGAGCTCAGAAGCAAGGGCCATGCACGGATTTTAAATATTAAATGTTAAGTATAAACATTGTTTATGTGCCCTTGGCAGAGAATGAATCTAAGTCTGTACGCACTGCTGAGTGATTGAGTGATTCACAGAGAAAGTGGAAGTTAATCATTACCCAGGCCTTCTGATTACATGGTTTGATTAAAAGAAGTAACTGTTTTCTGTAAGCCTGCTATTCTACAGTTAGCCTTTCCAATCCTCTTAACATAAGCAGAAATTGAGGGAGTCAGTCTTGCAGCAGACTACACACTCCAGTTCCTGCAGTGAGGGGCAGAGAAGTCCTCTTTAGCTCCCCCTCCTTTTCTCAGCCTCCCTCCTTCCACCCCCAAGGTACCTTCTGTCCATCTTACCTTTATTCCCTCTGCAGTGTTTTATTTTGTGAAAATTTCCTTTAATACTTAGATATAATGTATTTTCAGACATAAATGTCTGGACTGATTTGAAATTGAACATGGAATATAAACTCACAGAAGGTAGGCTGAGAACTTTATCTGCTGCAGGTAGAGTGTTAGAGGCTTGATGACTTCGCATGCCTGGGTGACTTCCCTGACTTTCTAAAGTCTCTTCCAACCTGGAACTTCTCATATTTTCTTCCCCTTCTATTACTTCCGCATGGTTATTTCCTTAAATTTGTTCTTTAGGATTTTTTACAGGATAATTAAGTAACGATAACTAGAGAATACATATCTAAATCTAAGCTCTCTGAATTGAAAAATAGCCTTTTTTTAAAAGCAGAGTAATAGCTTATTTTCAGAATTCTGTTTTAAATTTTTATACAAAGAAATTATTTTATGAATTACCTTAACAAATACTAATTTGTAGTTTTTGTAAGCAAAACATAATTGGAATTGACAGTAAGATCTAAAACCACAACAATTCAACAATACACTTTTGCACATTTTAAAGTCCTTTGAAGTGAAGGTTGATGTTTATTTTCATCTTATTAGAGTGTAAATGGGAAGATACCTATTTGAATTCCTATGATTCCTTGGTTATATTTCAAATATTTTGTAAAGGGAATCACTTGAGTCCAGTTCAGCAAACTTATTTTTTTGTTTTCCTACAACATGGGTCTGGCCTTGCAGGTCTCTTATTAATAATGATGGCCAGTGGCTCCTGATAGCTAGGATGCTGAAGTCCAGAACACTGATGGCATTCATCTCCTTTCACTATTTACTCCCCAATTTTACTTTTTAGATTTAAACACATTGCACTTGGAACTCCTCCCTAGTATATTCATTATTCCATTCACAAGAGTCTTATTTACTACTTTCCTCAATAGTACATGCTTTGCTTATGCTGACATTTCTTCATGAATTATTTCCCACTGTCCCTCCCTCCCCCGCCCTCCCCCCCCACACACACATACAAACACTCAGCAACTGTAGGACTAGAGAACATTTTGTTTTCTTAGAATAGTCTTTCCTCCATCACCCTGCTTCCTTCCTGCATGCTTACCCTGAGCTTTCAAAAGACATGTTTCATACCAGGAGTAGCCTACTTTTCACACTTCTTGATGGTTGGCACCCTCCCTGGATAGCAAGTCCCCAGAGGTCAAAAACCATACCTGATCTATCATTTCATTCAGAACGCTTAGCCCCATGTCCTAACATAAAGTAGACCACAAATGAATGTTAAATGCATCATTTAAAAATGTATTTGGTTATGAGGCAATAGAACCTGACTAACAGTGGGTTAAGCAAATAAGGATTTACCTTACATCATAAAAACTCAGAAGACAGTTGCTTAATCATTTAGGAATCAGCTTGTTTTTATCATTTTGGAACTTTTCTTCTTATGGTCATAAAATTGCTGCTGTGCCTCTAGCATCATGCCTGCTTTCTAGGTCCCCCAGAAAGATAGCCAAGACTACTCTGGGACAAGATTTCTCAACCTTGGCACTATCGTCATTTGGGGCCAGATAAGTTTGTCTGTGCCATGGGGGAGGATTCTGTACATTGTAGGATGTGTAGTAACACCTGTGGTCTCTACTGACTAGATACCAGTAGCATGCCCCATTCACCCCTCTGGTTATGACAACCAGGAATATTCTAGATATTGTCCAATGTCTTCGGAGGTAAATCATCCTGGGTTGACAATAACTACTCTTGCATCAAAGGAAGGCAATTCCCTGTTTCCTACTCTCCATTATATTTTAATTTTTTGCATTGCAGTGGTGGTGGGGATCTCTTTCTTTGTTATCGTTGTTTGTTTAATAAATGGAAAATAACTATGAAATTGTAAAAAAAAAAAAAAAGGACAGGAAAGGGCCAAACAAGCTTTTTCCTTGAGCATTTGGTCTTTTTGTGCGTGTGTGTGATGTGGACATCCCCATAGACTTCCATTCTCCATTCTCATATCACTTCCAGAGCTGTCAGAGGACCACTTACAGCTACAAGAGAAGTTGGGAAATATATTTTTAGTGTGGTATACCACTACCTTGGAGAAAATCAGAATCTGAAAAAAGACTGAGAAATGAATTTGTGTTTGAAAACTAGAAATGTTTGCCACTATTACAGGATAAATGAATATGTAAAATTCACCTAAATACTTTTAAAACGAGAAAAAGTAAAGAGATATAATAGAGAGTAGATATACTTTTCACATGCTAAATATTTATAAAACAACTATGGTGATACTGAGATATTTTTCCCTGATGATATTTTACTTGGAAAATAACTGGGCAGAATGGCAGCATCTTTCTCTCTATATATATGTCAGATGGCACCTCATTTCCTGTAGTCCATTGAATAAAGCAGTAGTTTGTTATTTATACCTATGAATTAAATAGTGGCCAATCATGAGAAATGTTGTCAAAGGAGATAAAAATGCAGATCTATTGTTTTTATACTCCTTACTAAAGCTTGTATTTAGAAAGATAGCACTCCCTAGTGATGGCATTAGGTTAAATAATGGTTTCTTGTACAGATGTGTTATCATGGGCTATAGTAACTTTAAATTAGGTTGCTCAATTATTTATCTCAGTGTGGTAAAAAGAAGCGCTATTAGATACCATTATAGGAAAGAATTCTACTTTACAAAGATATATTAGCATTACTGTGATGGTAAATGATCTTGTCTGGTTGAGTACAAAGTTGTTTTTGTTTTTTAATTTCTTACCCTTGTCTTTCATTCTTTATGAATTTGTTGAATGCCAATTGTGCTCAGTTCTGTGTAGAATATAGAAATATAAGATATGCTATCTATTAAGAAACTTTGGCTTGCAGGTAACAGAATGCCCAATTACAGG